CGACAGGTCTGTATGTCAATCTTTCTTTATTCATGCTTAAACGTTTAACGAAGGCACCGGGGTTTACATTTTTCCCTTTGAAAGAAAGTACAGAGCGCTACAGCAGGGTTTTATCTTCAGTTTGAGCTAGCTGGTTAATGTATAGTTTATTGAAACGTAAACATTATAAACTCGTTCATATTTTTTTTATCATACTAGCATTTGAATACTAAGATGTAGAAATTCAACGATATTAATTTTCCACACGAGTTTTATAAAGTGAACTCTCAAAATTATCCCACTTTTTATACGCTTATTTCCATCAAACTATCTGAAATAAGCACCGATCGATTATCTCGATCGCTGCTAAAAAACAGATACAATATACAACTCTTTCCTCCGGTTTTGAATGAACATGCGGTTACGATAAAATCCGCCTCGACGGTTCTGAGGTTCGTTTCTTTTACCTTAACAAGGAACTGCAATTTTTTCCAGATATATTCCTGCGTGTGAAATCACTGCTCGGATCCGTAATTGACTCGTTAGAATGAGTCAGAGATCAGTGAGAAAAGAACAAACAATGTTGTGTTATATATTCAGAGAGGTCGTTGACGCTGCATGTTATTAAATAAAAATATCCCGCCCTTAGCACTTCTAAACTTCGCTATAGAGGCATTTTAGTAAAAGCTTCACTTGTGGGTCCTGGGTTGCCCGGTGTTTTTCTAGTAAGCTAAGATATTTGACTCTCAAACAGCTTGCGTGAGAAAAACAAACAGATACACGTGTTTTCTGTTGGATGATGCAATGAATATGCATAGCATGTTATTTGCTAAGGTGATGATCTTCTTACATTAAATGTCTTTTAATAATGTTTCTACTCGTAATAACGTTACTCATGGTTAGGTAGATGATTGAACATTTGAATGTTTGCGGTCCTTTTCGGTTGATGAATGTGGCATGTAAACAAGTTATATTGACGACGTGAAGTAATTTATTCAAAGTTTTCTTTTGTGTTCATGCATAATCCATGAATTCACCGAAAAAATATTTCCACGAAAACACACTTAATAAACCAGGCAGATTGTTGTTATTCGTTTAATCAAGACTAAAAGTCTATATGGAACTTCTCATTTTGCGCAACGCAACTTCAGGATTCTATTACGAGGTAGTAAAAACTAATGACCGAGTTGCGGTTCGGCAACTTCACTAAGTTTTTTAGTTTACGTCGCGAACTATTTTAAGGTTACAGTTTACATTTTTCAATGTAAAAAGACTGCACTTTGCTTTCTTGAGGAGAGATGCGAAAACGGCAGCTAAACGAAAAACAAAAAAAAACCTTTGACTAGGTTAAATATACACGACTGATTTTAGAGGATGACAGTGCTATTATTTCTCTCAGGTTAAAATTCCATATCTCCAAACAGTAAAATACTTTTCTTTGCAATATCACATGCAGTAGTAGATAAAAAAAATAATTACTGTAAAAAGTATCTTGTCCCTTAGTACATTTGATACTTCGTTGTTTATAATTTGTAGCGATGCTATGTTAAAAACAGATGAAACAGAACTGTCTTTCTGATCATAATTTTGTATTTCACTCTTAATTTTCTGCAACTCAGTGACTTGATAACTTTTTATTGTATAATTTAATTTAGAATTTGTAGCAATGCCATGTCAAAAACAGATAAAACAGGAACTGACTTTCTGAACATATTTTTGTGTTTCTCTCTTAATTTTCTACAACTCAATGACTTAATTGAACTGATAACTTTTCTTAGTGATGGTAGTGATATTTTAGATGGTTTTTGGAGGTTTTGCTGTGGGCAGTGGCTATAGCTTTTTATCGATTGAAGTGGCATGCGACATGTAACTCCAAGCTGTGTTATGATTATTCAGCTAGTATATGGCTGATTTAAGATCATATGTGCTGGAAATCCATATGGAAATCACTGTCTTATCATGAGAGTTCATGTGCAAGGTGAGTGTTTCAGTTTAGACATTTTTAAAGTACAGTTTAATGACTATTTAACACAAAGTCCACGAAGGAATTGAAGAAACTGCTACTGTAACAATACTAATTATACATCCTTAAGAGAAAAGAAAAACACCATCAGACATATTTTATCAGCGGTCCTAAAGAAGTGTTTTTTATACACTGTAGGTGTGTTATTGAGTGGGAGGGGGCAGTGGAAACAAAAGAAATATAAGGGGTTCTGGAGAGTCTTTGTTTGTTGACTTAAAAAGAAGACAGATAAAGATAGTTTAGGACAGACCTTGAATTGGCTTATACTGACTTGTTTTATTTTAACGACTAGAATTTGATGCTGGGTAAGCATCTTCTCTTTAAGTCTTAATTCTATCCACCATTTGTTACCTCTAATAGGGAAATTTAAATTTGCTTCCTTAATTTCCTTACCATTTCAGTGCCTTTGCCTGTGTAACTGCCTTAGTTAAAGATAATGTGCGGTTTATGTATGTCACATCTGTCAGTGGAGGATCCTCATCTCTTCTCTCTCTCTCCTCTCCTCTCCTCTCATTCCCCTCTTTTCTCCTCTCAGTCCCTATCTTACCTCTCTCCCCCACCATATTTCCCTAACTAGTCCTCCTATTCCCTCTCCCCCTGCCCACCCCCCACAGACCTATCTACCTACCCAACTATTCTCCTGGTCACCTATCTACCCAACTGCTAACCTAACCACCAATCTACCTGCTTAACTAACCTTCTACTGACCTTTCCACCTGCCCACCAACCTATTGACCTACCCACCTACCCACCGAACTATCCTCCTGCTCACCCATTTACCTACCCACCTACCTACTTACCTTCTCACACTCCTGCTTACCCACCCATCCATATACCCACTCACCTACCTTCCCATCCACCTACCTGTGCAACTACCTACCCCACCTAACTACTTACACAACAGCCTTCTTGCCTACTCGTCTGCTCATTTACTCACCTGTACACCACCCGGCTTACATAAACGCCTACCTTTCTACCCACCTACACACCTACCTACCTACCCACCTACCTAACCACCCACCTACTTACCTACCTACCTACCCACTGACCAACTTACCCACCTACTAACCTACACTCCTTTCTATTCACTTACCTACCTACCTACCTACCTACCTACCTACCTACATACATACATACATACATACATACAGCTTACTACCTAACTCTACAGTATCTACAATTAAAATTTACAATCATAATAATTGAAAAAAAACCAATGATGTCTATGCATTAATTTCATTATGATCTGAATAAAAAATAAGAATGAATAATCTTTCCTTTAAGTTTTATTGATACCCCTAATGCTCTGAAGATGCCTCAGAAGCCTATTTTATGGTTTGGCACTGCAAAAATTAAAGCTCTGTCGCCCAGCTGTTGACATCTGGCAGTCTATGTATATTTGATAGTTGTGTTCCCCCATACAGAGGAAGAGTAAAATAACTTGCTAAAAACAAAGCTATCAATAAGCAGCAAAAGTGATTTTAGAACTTAAAACCCTCCCACCTACTCCCCTGCTAAACTACCCACCTGCTCACCCACCTACCCACCTGCTCGCTCACCTATCCCCTGATCACCTATCCATCTCCCTACCCACCTACCTACCCACCCAACCACCCAACTACCCTCCTGCTCAGCTATCTACCTCCCCACTTACTACCTAGCTACCTACCTACTTACCTACCCACACGCCTACATACAAACGTACGCAGAAACAAACATATAAACCCCTCCTGTACTTGATAATTGTACTGTACAAATAAATGTTATTGGTGAGCTTTCTGTATCTCAAACTCACAATTTCCATGACCAACAAGATTTGCCGAGAAAAATCTTAAAAAGCAGTGACATACATAAAGGAGTAACTGGTGATCTTTTGTCTTTCCTATATATGGCAATGCGTGCGTGTTTATAAGTCATGGATGGCGTTGTATCATACTGCAACAACTTATTTTTTTATTCCGTTTTATTTTTCTGTTTTTTTTTTTGTTTGTTTTTATCTATGATTTTGTTTTATTTTTTTTTATTTTCTCTACTCAGATATTCCTATTCCTACACTTCCACCGTCCTCAGGTTTGTCTACCGTCGTTACTTTGCAACAATCGATGACTGCCCTGGGTAGCGTTTTGGTTATCAGTCAGGTGACTGTTACTAATTGGCTGTACATGCTTTGAAGTGTTTCACTTATTCAGCATACATAGAATCACTTTTTAAATTAATTTTCGACATTTCTGTGGCGATCTTATGAACAGCGATGTGTTTTGAATCGTTCAACAATGCATTAAAATCCTCTACAGATACACACTGTAGTTTTCAAAAAGCTAAAGTTGTACGTTTGATCTCCTATGAAGGTGATGTCTCAAGGTCAGATGCCCCAGATTCTTCAAAATCTCCACCCCCAGGTATGTATGCTTTTTGCTTGGGTATTCTTTGACAAGGATTCTTTGGCATTTTACAAGTATTCTTATTATTTCCATAAGGTCGTAGTAGTAGCAAGTATGATAAATATTGTAAGAAATAGACAACTTTTTTGAGAGACATGTTTCGGCATGCTTATGCCATCTTCAATCAATGAGTAACTGAACGTGAATAATTATATAGCATACAAGTAGAGGAATAAAATATTTACAGTATGATGTAATGCAAAGACGGGTATTAACTACAACTTGACACCAAACATCAAAGGTGTGAACTAAAACGTAAGAAAAGTGTTATAATGCTGTAATTGTTGGTGAAGTTCAGGTTTGGTCTTATTTATATAAAAAGCTTCTTTGAGTTTTAAATCAATTGAGTTGTTAGCAGAATCCAGAATTCTAAAGCAAGAAAGGGAATTTTTGTTCTTACAAGGAGATGTGTTGAAATGCTTAAAAGCATGCGAGTTTTTATCGCTTTCCGTGTGCTCCCTTATCCTACTAGAGAAGTGGCGACTAGTTTCGCCAATATAACGGGAATTACAACCCGCACAGAAAATTGGTAAACTACCATGGATTTTAGAGCATCAGGAGTACGATCTTTTAACACTGAGCATGTATTATTTATACTTTTTTTCTTTTTGACTTCTTTTTAATTTTAACTTCTTTCGGATTGCCTGAAGGGATGAAAGCGTAGTCTTTGTATTTTTCTGACTCAACTTATATTTCGCTGTACTTTTATGTATCGAGCACTGTAACACGGAAAAATCGAAACGCAGGATTCCTATATATTAAGCCTGTTTCGTGATTGCTCACTCATCAGGGGATTTTATTGATAAGAATATCCGTAACCATCGTACATTAGGCACCTTATTCCAAAATGGCGGCTGTCTCAGATGATCTGGGTCAAGTTGCATGAAAATGAGGCATCGAGGGCCAAACTGCGGTGTTTACAAATGCTAATACGTCGCGATACGCTGTCATGCCTCAGAATTGCTGTTTGCCAGGGTGTAAAAAGAAGGTTTACGTCGAAAACGGGGTTAAGGTTTCTTTCCACACATTTCCTGAAGAAAGAAAGTTATTTATGAAATGGATCGTCGCTGTTTGAAGAGATATAGGCAAACATTTCCAAGTGACAACGCACACTAGAGTTTGCTCGAGACATATCAAGCCATCGCATTATCTTCCTTCACTTGCGGGGCGTAAAACGACAGTCACTTTAAAACCAACACCAGCACCTTCTGTATTTTACTGGAAGAAGAGATCCCCAGAATATTTAGACTTTCATCGTCAAAGCCAGGATATGGTTGCAGAAGCCTGACTTTCCAGCAGCACAACTTGGCCCACAGTAGGCATATTCTACTTCTCCAGAAACAATGCAGGGCACAAGTTTCAAGTTATGGGGTTCCTCGCGGACTTTGAAACTGTGGAAGCTCTTCGCGCGATAATAAATAACTTTGATCTTGGTGAGTCTAGATCTCGTGAAGGTATTCGCCACAATTTTCGCCAGAAAAGCCTTGGCTTTTCGAAGTCCTGTAGGCAACGAGTGATATTCGCTGTTTTGGTGCTTTTTACCTGAATTCGCAATATGTCTGTCCATTTCCGCACAGGTAAATAATGGACTTTCTGCAAGTGCTGTTATCAGAATGAGCTGTCGAGTTCGGCGTGTTTGGATCCAAAGCATCTTCAAGGCCAAGGAGTCGCCCTTTTGCGCCTGGTATAAACAAAATTTACGTCGGGGTCGACAAGAAGATGTTCGATCTTCGCTTCTGAGTAGTCATTTACCCTGAAAGAGAATGAAGCGATTGAGAATCTAGGCCACGCACAGCAACGAACGTTATTTTGGACTCAGCACTTACCGCTCACAAAGTTGTAATTTGTGGACAATCCTTTGCAGGAATCGCAACGACACTTTAACCAAAACTTTAACTCGGAGTTCTTTAACCGATTCGGATCTCTCCCATTCAATGAACTGCCAGGAATATCGTCTCCCGTCAAAAACGAAAGACCGGACACAAGGTTGTCTCGAAAGGACGCTATGATATTGTGTTCCGTAAATATTCTAGGGATCTCTTCCAGCAAAATACAGAAGGTACTGCTGTTGGTTTTAAAGTCCTTTTACGCCCCGCAAGTGAAGGAAGATAATCCGATGGCTTGAAATGTCTCGAACAAACTTTGTGTGCGTTGTCACTTGGAAATGCTTGCCTATATCTCTTCGAATAGCGACGATCCATTTAAAAAATAACTTTATTTCTTCAGGAAATGTGTGGAAAGAAATCTTTACCTTGTTTTCGACGTAAACCTTCTTTTTAACCCTGGCACACAGCAATTCAGAGGCATGACAGGTTATCGCGACGTATTAGCATTTGTAAACGCCTCAGTTTTGCCCTCGATGCCTCGTTTTCATGCAACTCGACCCAGATCATCTGAGACAGCAGCCATTTTGGAATAAGGTACCTAGGATATATACGATGGTTACGGATATTCTTATCAATAAAATCCCCTGATGAGTGAGGAATCACGAAACAGGCTTAATATATAGGAATCCTGGCAGAACTTGGCAGAAGTGGCGTGGCGGCTCGAGGATGCCAGTTCTTTACGTGTATTGAGTGATGATAATTCAGCTCGGCGGATGATAAGTAGGTTTTTTTAGGCAGAGGTTGCATTGTTTACGAGCGCTGTTGAAGGGTGATCTTGATGAAAGGATGCGTTATGAAATAAATTGGTCAACGTTATTTTTTTTTAGAGTCCAGAGATGTTTGCTGAGTTCAGTAGAGTTTCTGTATTTTAGGTGTCGGAATGATGCAGTGTGGTTTCTTTGTCTAGTTTTAAAGTCGTTTTCTGTGAGTCCGATGTATGTGTTAGTGGTGCTGTTGTACTTACGTTTGACTGTGGCTCGCTAGATTACTGATGTTTGGAGGAAGTTTCCGTCATGTGGGCAAGTGTTCTTCTGTGGGCAGTTGCAAGTTTATTGCCTTTTTTTCTGTTGTCATCTGTGGTGTCACCGATGTGTTTGGATGAATTTAAAATGCGTTTGTCGTGATTTTCGATGATCTTTTTAGTGTTGCTCATGCAGCTGTAACTGATCTTGATTGTATTTTGGTTGAAGATCTTTCTGAGATTATGGTCTTTAGGGAGGTGTTTGACTAATAGAGCAAGGCATCTAAGACTTTGCGAAGGGCTGGTAGGTGTTTTTATCCAGTGATGTCTAGGAAGTTGATGGTTTGTTTCTTAGCTTCCATAGTGACCCGTAGTCTATTGTGATTGAAGATGCGGCAGTTTTTTTTGCTTTTTTTTTTGTTTGTTTGTTTGTTTGATTTTGTTTTGATGTTTTCGCTTTCCCTCGGAGTGGTGTTAGAAATCACCAGTCCGTCGTCTCGGTAAAGTCCGATGTGGATGTTGAAGTTTTCCAGTAGGAAAAGGAGGAAACTTTCCACCAACTCGAAGCTGCCCATTGTGACGTCAAATGTTGTGTCAAAAGCAACCTTGGCAGAAAAAGGGCGACACAACATTTGACGTCATCATATAAAAGAGTTTTTATAGCTTAGGAGGCAGCTATTATTTATAATGCTTACAGGACATGACCTATTTATTTTCAGAAGAACACAGCAAGGAGGTTCACAACGCGTTAATTGTCACGCTTCTTATTGTGTTCATTGGCATTAGTTTACTCTTATTCGTGACATGCGCTGTTCAGGCGTGGCTGATAAAGAAAAAGAAACCTTGCCCGTGCAGCCAAAATCAACTACAGGAGGTTCTTCCCGGAGTTACTCGCAGAAATTCTTTCGGAACAGATAGCGACGACGGAGAAAGAGGTACCGCAACAGACGGGGACAGCAGTCTACACAAAACATGCCTTCAGTCTAATTCAGAAGATGAGTTTGAGAATAAAGGCCGAGGAGTTTTTTCCAGACCCACTTGCGAAGATCATATTGGTACCGATAGCGTTGGTTTTCAACGTACAGATTTCATTGTCGATGCCATCTAACAGTTTTTATACATTGCTCTTCCAAAGTTTGGTTTAAAAAGTTGGATTGTCTCTCTTCAGCTTAAATACATTTATAAAAGAAAACAAAGCAAAAAAGAGACAAAATTAAGGCAACCAAAACAAATAAAAAAAACAAACAAACACAAACAAGCAAAGAACGAGTCAACTTGTAATATGTAACATAAGTATGATGTGATTTGGCAAACACTTTCCGTTCTTTTCTGGCTAATCGGAATTGATGCAGTACATAATTTGAATCAGAGAAATACTTTTTAGGGTATAACTGAATATGTTTTGCCCGATGATATGCCTTTAATACATTTCTCAGTTCTGCTTAGCTGGAAGGGAATGTAACCAGGGTGCAAATTTGTAACACGAGTGCAAATTTCAAATGGGCTCTTTCTGAGTTTGCAATTAGATGACTTTTGCATGATAGTCTTAAAAAAGGCTTCAATTTGATAGACGAAGATCTATTTCAACCAATTAATCGGACGTTATATGAAAATTAAAGCGCGTCTCGCTAGAATTTCACTTATCTTAAAAATATCTTCCCTTTTTAACTCGTGAATTGCGCGTGCGCAAGAGCGAGTTGTAGGTATGATGTGATGAATGGTGCTCGCTCGCTCGTTGGTCGATTCCTGTAAACTTTGTTCTATTTTAGGCTTTTGAATGCATTTGATAGTTTTTTGGCGAATGATAAACAAACGAAATGACAACCTTTGTTGCTAAGAATAGTGTTGGGGTGAAAAGAAGCCAATGATAATCTTGAAAGACTAAAAAAGTATACGTTTTTCTTTTGTGAATTAATTAAAGCCTGCCCAATCTCCGAATACACTTTTATCTTTTGCAGCGTATATTTCATTTATGACATGAATACTTCTATTTTTAAATGTACACATCCAGGAAAATGATTATTGTGTCCGAAAAAGAAAAAAAAAGAAAGTAAAGAAGGAAAGGTAAGCCAAACTGAGAATGTACATCAGTACGTCGCAGTTGAACCACCTACGTCGCTACCCTGAGAATGTCAGCTATCGCATTGCTTTTTACCATAAGGCCACCGAAACACCTTGTTACCCAGGGGCGAAACTTTATCAAGATATAAATTTTACATTTAAAACGCTGGTCTTTTGGTAATCTCAACCGCGGGCTCAAACGACTCGAGTTGCTGCTCGCCGACAGTCCGACTTTGAAGTGTCGCTCGCGGCCAACTGCTCGTCTAGGGACTTGTTTGAGACTTGTTTGGTATTCCTGGAGCTGTATCGACGTTGGAAAGTGGTTCACAAGTGGGAACTGCAGTGAAAGAAGTTCAAGCATAAGTTCAAACCAATCGATATGCTCTTTCTTCAATGGTGTAACTCGCACTGCACTGTTAAGTTTTGTATGTTTCCAGATACGCTGAATTAAGGATTTTTTTTCATAAAAATGCGTCCTGGAACAGGAAGTTCTAAAGATGGGGATTGATATCACTCAAAATAAGTGTGATTATCAGTTCTCAGAACAAGGAATATGCACTGACAGCGAGTGACAAATACTGCCTAAAACTGATAACAGAGGCCTTACCTTATTAGGTGACTAACGTTTCTCAGAGTAAGACCTATTTTTTTCAAAACGAGTAAGTAAAGATCTCAAAAGAAAGCACTTACTTCTCAAAGATTGTTAAATAATACATCATCCCTATGTCCTTGAGACAAGGATCTTAACTCCAGGAAGTGGTTCTTTATTTCAATATTTTGTGCATGTAACACAGGTTAGCCAAGCCATACTATAAACTCAACAAAAACTTTTAATCTGACATAATAAACCCAAATTGTGCGTTCTTTAATATGTTTTACATTATTTTGAACTTAAGATACCTGCACAGCAGCAAGTTTTATTTTGAAGCAAGACTTCAAGTTACACCTCACTTCAGTTGATGTATCAAATTAACAGCAAAGTGACATGGCTTTAAACCTAACACCAACTCTTCAAGAAATGGCACAGCTACATGTCAACTTAATATGCTGAAATTTTTTAACTATTCCATAAAAATCTTTATGCAGATTCACCAATACAAAAATAATCAGTATATAGCGGCTTCATGACAAACACAAATTCCTCAAGGAATAGGTATGGTAGCCTTTCCTTTGAATCATGCTGAAGATTACTCTTTCTCTTTGTCAAAAATCTTGCTACAGATTTGCCTGTACCTAAATGCTCATTGTAGAGGCTTTACACCTAGGACATATTCTTCAAGAAATTGATACCGTAACTTTTCTTTTGAATCATATTGAAGATTAAAACAATAATAAGTTTGACAGTCACAACAACAATCCCTTGACAATGATGAATATCCATGCTGGTGTATGACTATCATTACTTCTGTCAACAAGTGGTTTATATTTAGTTTGAGATTCTTTACTCTGGTTCGGTAGTAGTTTACATTCCATGCTTATTCTTCTGGAAGTTATAAATATATGATTTATTTTGACAACCACTTTGATTGTCATTTAAAATGAAAAATATTTGTGAATTAGATGCAACAAGGATTTTCCTAATGCTTTATATTTAGGGTAAACTAGCGACACTCAAAACTGTGGTCTTGTTTCATGAAGACTCAAGATATTGAGTGTGTTAAAAGAAAAATCAACGTAAAAATGTTTTTCAAATTATATTTAGTTATATTTCCTTGGGAATTTGACAAGCACAATTCCACAGATATTTCTGAAATTTTGGCAAGGATTTTTCATAAATCTAGTTGGAAGAAGAACCTTTCTGCATAGAATGAATACGTGCTAAAAGCAAGCATTTGAGATATTTATTCAATAGCGGAATTATCCTTAAAATGAGAATTCAAAGTCATAATTCTTAAAACAAGGAATGTAAATCTTATTTTTAATGGTGGTATTCTTAAACTGAGGAACTTTCATTGGAGAGTATAAAATTCTTAAAAGCAGATATCTTGATCCTTACATTTCAAGGAATTGACTCTCAAAATAAGGAAAGAATCCTTGTTTTGAGTATCCTCTGACTAACAATAAGAATTCCGAAAAACATAGAATTTAGAGTGGTGTGAACATCCTTGTACTTGTTTTTTCATCCTCGTGCTAATAATTATCTTAGAAGTGTGAAGCAGGCTTCAAGGGCAGTACTCGGTTGTAACACAAGAATAGGCATAAACATAACAAGCTAATGTGCAGGTGGGCTCAGCTGCAACATAAACATGAGCACAAGTGCTCAGTCGATGTTATGTTAAATAGGGACATGGTTGGCATAAGCAGTATGGTGCTTGCTGATTGCCTGAAAGTTTTTCGCTTATGTTTATCCTTACGCTTATGCCAACCAAGTCTTAACTCGACAGTACAAGCATAAAAAGAAGGCAACGTTTTGGTAATCTTATGCATATATGCTTATTTTTATGTCCGTGCGTTCCATCCAGATTTTACATGCCTATCCCTATGCTTGCATCGCAAGTAAATACTGAGCTCAATATTGGAACAATAGTTTTATTATAAACAAAACAGCACCCTTTTGAACTTTCAATCCACAAACCTTAACAGTNAAATTACATTGGCTTATCCAATTCACGAGTTGGCTCACAGAGCCTTTGATTTGTCATTTACAATATTTATAACTTATCACATGCTTTCTCATGTAAATTGTAAAAAGGAAAAAAGCAATTGTATATTTTTCAGTCTTCAAATTGTACTTACCCCACGGGCTCGTGAAAATTTGTTATGTGAAAAATTTCTTCGTGATCAATTATACCAAATTTCACTTAGAATTCAGTGTTAACTTAGTCTTATTAGAGGGGCTTTTTCCCCAAGCGTTTGTATAAAAAATATTCAATCGAGAATTTACGGTACCTTTTTTGTGAAGGTGGAGGCTGAATTCTGTATACTATTTTCAAACGATGAACAGACATTACTTTCCCAAAGATTGTGCGGAGGAAGTACCTTACAGAGCAGCTCTAGTAGTGAGTATTATACATGAGGAAGCAGATAATTTGAACATAAAATTCTCATGTATTAATTTATACAAAAGACTTTTAATGTTATGGTTAAGTAAAGGTTGCCTGGATATTCACTCAAAAACTTATTGATAAGCTTTAAGGTTCTTTCCTTTTGAGGACTACGAGCCTCTGGTTTGAAATAGATCTTGAATATTTCATATGATAATCACCACCTGAAGAAAATCTTCTATTGTAATTATTTACCTCGTTAAAGCAATTTGATACAGACTTTGTGCTCAATAAAGCAAGCTTTTTGCAGTATATTTAAAAAAAACCAATGTGTTGCGTTCACTTTCTTTTAAGGGAGATTAAAAGAGCTTCTGCACGCTGGGTAGGTTTACACGACAACAGCTGGTAAACCTGGTAAACGAATGCCATTTGCGTGCTTCAAAAGTTTTGGACGAGCAACTCTTTCTGCGCTTGGGAATAATCGCATGTTGCCATCGATCAAGAGCTGGCGCAGTATATTACCAATAGCACGATAGGAGGGTATTAAGAGAAAAAAAATTATCCTTGATAAATGAGAACTTTTTTTTTTGTACTTCTGATTCCATTGCAAAGAAAAAATACTGAATAAAACGGGTTTACCAAAAGTCCCTTCAATAGGACATTTAGCTTTAATCACGCAAAAAAATAAATGAATGAACAGATATTTGAGCGCCGAAAGGAAATTACAAATGAAAATAATGGATAAAACAGAATTCTCCCTTTTCAAGTCAGTCGATCTCTTTAGAATTATCACAACAGGTCCTGCCCATTAAGCTTCTCCTAGCCTTTCGTGAGCAGTCCCTTAGGCTGCGGAAGAGGGAAAGATGAATTTCAAAATAAACATTTGGCTTTCCAACTTTAGCCGAAGTTGAGTTGCTAGACTACAAAAATATCTGCTGCGCGTTTGAGGCGTAGTATACAACAATTGCCCGGACCCCTCCCAGCCTTGAAATATAGGTGACGTATGGAACTTACTGTGAGCTGATTTCACTGGATTAGCGGCAAAGGAACACTCTTTAATTAGTCCTGTTCATAACTCCTTCCCCATAAATAGTTTAAATAACGATTCGTTTGTTGTACGCAGGTTTTCGCCCAAACGCACAAAATTTGAACTAATTAGTTTTGTGTGTGATTCATGTGCTTTGTTTAACCGTTTGTTTCAATTTTTCCTGTTTGTTCAGTTAGAAAGTAACCACGCATTCGCTCTCCTAAAGTTTTTAAGGGATATTGGTATTTTGAAAATGTTTCCAAAGACCACAATTCACTCTCGCCTTAGAATCTAGTGCAATGTTGGTGGTGCTTTAATTGTAAATAAAAAGGAGAAGGAAAATTGAAAGAGGAACGGCAGTACAGGAAATTCCCTTTCAAACGAAGAATTACAACCTTCGTTAAATTGAACATTATTTTATAGCGGGGCTCCCATGTGCGTTTCGTGCGCGTGGGGCAGAGCCCTTACCTATGGAATACGGTCAACCTCTTTTCGTTTGGTTGTCAGGTGACTGACCGAGCGTACGTGCCCTCAGATTGCACGGGTAGGGTAGGG